CTGTCATGGTCTGGGCCACAGTGATAAAATATAAATATGAAGGTACTTAAATTCGACACTTTTCAGATCTACCTTTTCTTCATCCATTCATCTGTTGTAGGACACATACTTTCACTCCAGATCCTGGCCATCGCAACGGTCACAAGAACGAATATAGATGCACACATGTATCTACGGCTCGCTGATACAGATTCCTGCTGGCACATATCCTGGAATGGGATAGCTGTATCCTATGGTGGTTTCAGTTATTTAGAAGCTTTCAGATTGGTTTCCATAGTGACTCCACCAGTTTACATTTGTAGCAGCAGTATATAGGGTTCCTCTTTCCCTATATTCTTGCCAGCATCTGTTAGTTTTTGTTTTCTTGATGGTAACTATTCTGATATGGGTATGAAAAAATGTCAATATAGTTATAATTTGCATTTCTCTAATGGCTAAACATATTGAAAGTTTTCCTTTAAATTGTTCACTAATACTTTTCCTTTTGAGAGCTGTCTATTCAATTAACTTGCAATCCCAGGACCTTGGCAAGTACTATAAAGTAACACAAGAAGGAGGAATTCAGTGGCAGGCTTACAAATAACTAAGAGAAAAATGCAGGAACTAGGCATGACATGAACAATATGTCTGTTTATAGTTTTGTTTGCAATGCACTTTCCCGTTGTTTCATTTTATTTCTGACAGTCCTCTTGCAAGGTAGGGAAAGAGGTTTTATTTTGCTTGGTTTTGTTGTTGTTTTGATTGATGAAGAGCTGAACCTTAGAAAGGTTAAGTGACTTGGAGAAGAGCATTTCAAACAAAAATATTTAACATTGTCAAATAGAGAAAACTGAATAAGGTGTGAAAGGAAGTTCCAGTGTTTGCAAGCTACTTATTTAGTTTAAGCAAAATAAATTTGGAAAAGAAAAGAGAGGAAAGGTGACAAGAGAGCCGAATATTTTGAGACACAGTCATCGATGAATGCATTAAAATGTGTAGCATATACATGACAATATTGTAACTGCATACAATGGACTGATTGTCTGCTACTTGGAAACCCTATAGTGAAGCCTCATTTCCATTCAAGCAAGTTCCAGAACCCTATCCAGGAAGGACAATAGAGAAGTATGGCCTGGACTGGGTTTGGGCACAAGCATAATAAGGGAAACAGTGTCCTCTGAGTGAACTTTTAGGAGAAGCCACTGTTTATCACCCATCAATTAAAACAGAACAATCCATGCTGAGCCCCTAAGTGTCCACACTTCCTCTTCCTCTTCTATCTCATAAATGGAACCACAAGCAACTATCACAACCCTTGAGTATGTTCTCATATATGTGTCCCCTCTGCTCCGTTACAGAGTATTTAAGGTACACACCATAGCTTACTTATAACAGGATTTTGAGTTACTTTGCAATCCCTGTGTGCCTTTATTTCAATTCTATGAATAAGACACCAAGTCTGGAAATTTCCAGTCTAGACACTGCCCACTGTAAGAGCAATAAGAAGAGGAATGCTGTTTAACATCACAGCTATTCCATCTGCCTACTCATTTGGACAGTAAAACTTTGTCCATGTAAACCCTAAGACAGGTTAGTATATACTTTCTAAGCTATCCTGTGTCGAATTAGGATAAGGAAAAGAATGCGCAGTGAAGCAGAATGCTTTTCCTTGGCTTCCTTAGTGGCCATCGGTAAAAATTCATGCGAAGTTACAAGAGACAGACATCGGGGATGAAATTTACAAATTCTGGAATAAACTTAAAATTCTGGAATTGCTTCTGGGACAACTCACTCAGGATGATCCTTTCCAGGTCCCACCATTTACCTGCAAATTTCATGATTTCCTTATTTTTCATTGCTGAGTAATACTTTATTGTATAGATGTACCACAATTTCTGCATCCATTCTTCAGTTGAGGGGCATCTGGGTTGTTTCCAGCTTCTGGCTATTGCAAATAAAGCTGCTACAAACATGGTTGAGCAAATGTCCTTTTTGAGTACTTGAGCCTCTTTTGGATATATGCCTAGGAGTGGTATGGCTGGATCTTGAGGAAGCGCTATTCTTAGTTGTCTGAGAAAGCGCCAGATTGCTTTCCAGAGTGGTTGTACAAGTTTACATTCCCACCAGCAGTGGAGAAGGGTTCCCCTTTCTCCACAACCTCTCCAGCATGTGTTGTCACTTGAGTTTTTGATCTTGGCCATTCTGATGGGTTTAGGGTGAAATCTCAGGGTCGTTTTGATTTGCATTTCCCTAATGGCTAATGAGGTTGAGCATTTCTTTAAGTGCTTCTCTGCCATTCGATATTGCTCTATTGAGAATTCTCTGTTTAGCTCTGTTCCCCATTTTTAATTGGATTACTTGGTTTGCTGCTTTTCAGCTTGTTTAGTTCTTTATATATACTGGATATGAGTCCTCCTGAGTGAGTTGTCCCAGAAGCAAAAAGACACACATGGTATATACTCATTCATATAGACATACAACATAGGACAAACCCATTAAAATCTATGCATCTAAAGAAACCAAGCAAGAGAGAGGACCCTAACTAAAATGTTCAATCCCCACCTGAAAGGCAAAGAGGATGGACATCAGAAGAAGAAGAAAATAGGAAACAACCTAGAAACCTGCTACAGAGGGCCTCTGAAAGCCAGAAGAAGAAAACAGGAAACAAACTAGGAACCTACCACAGAGGGCCTCTGAAACACTCTGCCCTGCAGACTATCAAAGCTGATGCTGAGCCTGATGGCCAACTGGCGGGCAGAGTGAATAGAATTTTATGTAAGAAGTGGGAAATAGCAAGAGCTGGAGAGGACAGGAATTCCACAAGGAGAGCAACAGAACAAGATAATTTGAACACAGGGAACTTCCCAGAGACTCATACTGCAACCAAGGACTATTCATGGAGATAACCTAGAACCCCTGCACAGATGTAGCCCATGGCAGGTCAGTGTCCAAGTGGGTCACCTAGTAATGGGAAGAGGGACTGCCTCTGACATAATCTGATTGGCCTGCTCTTTGATCACCTCCCCTGAGGGGGGAGCAGCCCTACCAGGCCACAGAAGAGGACAGTGCAGCCACTTTTGATGAGAACTGATAGACTAAGATCAGAAAGGAGAGGAGAACCTCCCCTATCAGTGGACTTGGGGAGGGGCATGCATGCAGAAACCGGAAGGAGGGTGGGATCGGGAGGGGAGGAGGAAGGGGCTTATGGGGGGATACAAAATGAATAAAGTGTAATTAATAAAAAATTTAAAAAAATAAAAAAGAATCTTTATTGAAAAAAAAATTCTGGAATTGAACATATCAATTTCTTCTGCTGCTTCATAAATTAAACAACCAAATACTAAATTCTGTCTTTCTCTCCCATCATCTCTCCCTCTCCCTCCTTCTGTTTCTCCTCCCACATCACCCTCTTTCTCAAGGTTCATGTCCATAAACACACAGATATTCTCATAAAAGAACTTGGCCTAGCAGTGCTTGCCTGTAATATCACCATTCATGAGTGTGAGCCTACAGGACTCTAAGTTCACACCCAGTAGCAGCTGCATACTGAGAGACTTTCTCAAACAACAACCACACCACCCACAACCACCACCACCAACAATCCAATAACAAAACAGCATGCACAAACATAAACTTTAAAAAAATCTGACTTTAAAAAACTGAAGGTATTTTCTGTGATCCTAGCCACAGGATAATCTGCCTTGATTAGAAAACACTACTCAAAAAAAAATATTAGACTGCCATTTTTGAAATATAAATTTAGGTAGTTGAACTAAATTATTTTGATAGATGACTCATAAGTAGAATTGGTACTTAAATTTCATTGACAACTTGCTGTTTTGCAGAGAACATTTTATTTCAGATAACTGAAGATAATTTACATACTGTTCATTTTACCTTAGAAGCTCAGTTAATGAATACACAAAACAAACCATGCCTGTGTCTATACTTCATACACATTTCTAGATGGAAAGTGACAAATTTAGACCATCATACAGAAATTTGAAAACATTTATCTTGATGATATTAAACATCTGCTTATTCCTAAATACCCAAGATGTTGCATGTCCTGCAGGAAAACAAAACAAAACAAAATAAAACAAAAAACCCTGATGACTACTGACTCTTTACCTATCTCTTGCATAAAAATGTGCATTTGCAAGCCTCTGTCTCTTCCTGTTTCAGACACATATACAATTTTCACACGGATACAGTAAGTATTGTAGGTAGAAGTGTCAGGTGTGGATTTTCTGTTATTATTGTTCTTAGTGAATATCTGAACAGCAGAAAGGCCTTTTATTTCCCTTTCAGAAAATAAAAGTGATAATTGTCATTTCAACGGTGTGAATTGAAAGGTAAAGATTTGCAAAATGAAGGTGCCTTGGTATTTCAGCTTTCATTTACAATGAAACTAGAGTGGGAGGGTTATAACACAAGGCAGTTTCTTCGTTGACTGACACCTATGAGGTTGAAATGTTATATAAAACATTTCCTGTCTCATGATATGTCTAAGCATTTTATTCTTCCTTAGTGCATTCAGTTAGGCCACTCAGATGAAATGACAGGAGTTGAGTTTGAACTTCTAAGGGATAATGCCCATGCCCCCTGTTCACAGTGATGGTTTGTCATGGGAGTGGTAATAAATATTGCTTCTAAGTTTCTGATTTCATTATATCCTAATTTCTCTGCATCACTTAAGACTGACTGTTCCAATCATTTCAGCTATGTCTTTTTAGTCTAATCTAATTGAAGAAAGACCCTTATTTTATAGGAAACAGGCAAAAATGATTATAAAATAACATTTATATTTTGGATATAAGTTTAAAATAAAAATACACATTCTTTTCAATTCTTAACATGTTAAATTAATGCCATATATTTGGTAATAGCACTTCTAAGCCTTTTAAATCACGATTGCTTTCAGTCCGTAATAGCAAAGGAAATGAATACTAAAATGAAAAAAATGGCTGAAACTTAGCAAATATTGGAGCCATAAAACAACACCCCCAGGAATGCCTTACCTTTGAGATCACTCAGGACAGAACCAAAGGAGCTAATGACCACATCGGCCTTCAGACGCACTATCTGCTCTTCATCTTCAATCCAGTTCCCAGTTTCATCTTGCTCAGTCCGAACAAATTGCATTGCCACAATTTTTCCATCTTTGACTATCACCTTTCGTGGGGACAGGAAAGGCAAAAACTCACATTTTTCTTCCTTAGCGAGCTCCATCTAAAACAAAAGATCAAGTAAATAAAACTTAAGAAACGTAGTTGATTTTCAAATCAAATTTACATGCTAATTGTTTATAATGTTTTAGTTTATATGAAGCTTTTTTTGCATTTTCCACCATAGCTGAGTTTGAATTTCAGGCATTAGCTCCTTGCGCAGGGGAATTTTGGATTCAAATGTGACAAAGAAACTAACAGTTACTTCCTCTAGGAGCAGTGTGGCAGAGCACTTTAGCAACACGTATGAGTCCATAGATTCAGTTTCCAGCACTCCAAAAAACAGGGTTTTTTTTTTGGTCAAGTTATTTATTAATTTGTCTATAATCAGACATGTGTGGTATTCTCAACTGTGATAGTCTAGGCTCCTCTCATATTCATTTTTGCAGAGTAAGTTATCTGTGTAATTATGCTAAAAATAAAAATAAATATTTTTTAACCAGCTGTATGTGACTGAACTAGAAAAAATCAATAAAGCAGCTGATCTACTCTCTGTGAGCACATGACTAGAATAGGAGGTAGAAAAAGAAAGCTAGAGAAGCTTGGACGACTCATTTTTCCTTTAGAACAGCACAGTCATGAGGAGCACCAATGAAAAATCAAAAAGAGAGAGAGGAACAGACATCCTCGAAACCTACTTTTTCTTTGTAATATATCCTATCACTAAATGGGAATTGTGTATTTCATGCCTAATAGGTTGCGCATTCACACAGAAGGTTCATATTTATTAACTTATTATTTTCCTCTTTCTGTTTCAGATGATACTCAGGCATTTGTCAATATAATCAGAACTGGTCTTTTGAGTGTCTGACAAAAAACGAAATAGTAGAAAATGAGCCCTGGCAAAGAACTTTGACATCCCTGTGACGCCAGGTGGGGTCTTGGTGGGACCCTGACTGAGTGACATATGGTTTCTGGGAGGCAAAGCATCTCTTAAATGATCCCAAATTATAAAATCAGTATGGTGATTAATATATGTTTTCTGTTTGCAACACATTTGCATAATGTAGCTCAAGAAACAAGCTTAGGGTGTTTCAAGAACGAGAAGGGATACCAACTTTTAATCACACTGCCACACTTGAGTGAATGACATTGCCAAATGTTCATGGGTTGAATAAGTCAATCCAGCAGGAGTATTTATAATTGTCCTACTTTCTGAGAAGCGTGTAAGTGAAATCAGGACTATGTTACTGGTGTTACAGAATGTGCCTGGTGGATTGATTTAGAACGTGGTGTGTCCTCTCCTGTATTTCTTGCCTATTGACAGTTTGCATTTCTTTGTGCACACAATCTCTTAAAGTATTTAGCAAAGTTGCTGTTACATTTGGAAAGAAAGTTAGGTAATCCTAGTAAATAAGAAAAAAAAAATCCTTAAAATTTTCCTTAGCATCTTTGCATCTTTTGCCCATGCTCCTTGGGTTTGGAGGACACCAGAATCCATGTTATGTTTTCAAACAAACAAACTGGTTTCTAATACATGCTCAAATTATATCGTGGCTTACATATTTTTTTTCATATTGGTATATACATTCAGAAGCATGCATCGTGGTTCACACAGGTTGTGAAGAATACAAGATAATGGAAAATCCACCTCTTTAACTGTATTTTTTTTTTTTTGGAAACAAGGAAAAGGAAACAAAACTCATAAATGTCTGAAAGAACCCTTTTAAGCTTCATCTTAGAACAAGCATAGTATGTGCTTTAGCCCATAGTTGCTGTCGTAAGTATCCTCCCCAGATAGGCTCTTCCACCAGCCTTTGGGTTATAGCTCAACCCGGAAAGCTGGAAAGAACCCCTGGTGCTGATCCTCACAATGAGATGCAGTGAGAGGACAAGGTAACTCAGTGTACAGCAACCATAATCCATATGAAATAAAAAAAAAATTGTAGAAGCCAGAGTATACGGTTGAGCTGGAAGCATGTCTGGTTTATTTCTAGGCTACACCTAGAAAAAGAAATTTTTCTAGTCCATGGCCACATGCTTTCTGTGTTCTCTCATGGTCTTTATTCTGTGCACCCAAATCCTACTATATCATAATTTTCTAATATGACAGGGATGAGAATTTGCTAAAGACACTTAGCTTCCTTGACCCCTGCTTGACAGTGTGAAGAGGACTAGCAGTGTGAACACTGGCCTTCCACCAGATCATTCTAAGCTCCTGTCCTAAACTGGAGAAGGTATGAATAGATTATGGGGTGGTGCCCTATAATCTCAACACATGCAGCAGTTATTTTGCATTAAATACAATTGTTTACTGCTAATCACTTTATAAAGAAGGAGAGAGTTAAGGGAAACAGAAAATATCATCTAAACATATGTATTTACTGAGGAAATGTTCATGCTGTAGAGAAAAGGATAATGGAACTATTATAAGACCTGTTGTATTGGGAGATAGTAAAATATTAGAAACATGGGAAGATGGACATGTGAAATTATACATCAGATACATGGCAGTTCAGTGGCCAAGTGGGTTACCTAGGACTATTCATGGAGATAACCTAGAACCCCTGCACAGATGTAGCCCATGGCAGGTCAGTGTCCAAGTGGGTCACCTAGTAATGGGAAGAGGGACTGCCTCTGACATAATCTGATTGGCCTGCTCGTTGATCACCTCCCCCTGAGGGGGGAGCAGTCTTACCTGGCCACAGTAGAGGACAATGCAGCCACTTTTGATGAGAACTGATAGACTAAGATCAGAAAGAAGAGGAGAACCTCCCTATTAATGGACTTGGGGAGTGGCATGCATGCAGAAAGGGGAGGGAGGGTGAGATCGGGAGGGGAGGAAGGAGGGACTTATGGGGGATACAAAATGAATAAAGTGTAATTAATAAAAAAATTAAAAAAATAATGCTCCCATTTAATAAAGGTCAGTTTATTCTAAAAAAAAATACCCTTTCAGTAATTTAAGAGCATAATGTAGGAATATACTTTTGCATTTAAAATTATAATTTATTTTGGTGAGTGTGTGTGTGTGTGTGTGTGTGTGTATGTGTGCATGCATGTGTGTGTGAGTGTGTGGGCATGTGAGTGTATGGGCATGTGGGGGGTATGTGTGTGCATGTGTATGTGTGTACGTGTGTGTGTTTTGTAAGTGGGTGCACAGGTGCCATATATGTATGTGGAGGTCCAAAGGAAACTGAGTTAATTCTCTCCTTCTGCGTGGGTCCTGGGGAATCAATTCCAGGCGTAAAGTTTGGTATTAGGTGTCTATATCTTCCAAGTCATCTTGTCAGCCTAATTTCACTTCTTAGTAGGTCTGCTTGATAATAGTAAATGATGCTATCAGATTTTCTTTTCAATACTTCACCTATAGCATATCATCTTCCCACTGAAGATACATTATGACAGCTATATATTAGTTATGAAAAAACATTGCCACAAACCAATCTTTTCTTCATGTTGTGGTACAAAAGGCCAGGGCACCACTGTTCATTTTGCAGACCGAATGCCAAGCCTCATGTACTCTGCTGCACACCAGCCTAACCTAAAATCTATCTAAACGCATGCAACCTGAACACCCTAATATGAATATGTAAAATCAAAATACTAAAAAGCCCATACTTGTATTTATATCACAAATGAAAAATTCACTTCCAGTCTCATTTAGAGGGTTACAGTGAGGGCTACACACAAAAAAAATATTGTTTAAAATTTCTTTCATGAGTCTTTCAAGTCCCTCAGTGGTAGGCTCCTGTCCTGTTTTCCCCCTCTTCCGATGTCCTTCCCATTTGCCTTTCTGAGTGAGATTGATCATCTTACCCAGGGCCCTTCTTCTTGCTTAGCTTCTATAGATATACAAATTTTAGTATGTTTATCTTATATTATATGTCTAATATCCACTTATTAGTAAGTATATACCGTGTGTGTGTTTCTACTTCTGGGATATCTTTGAAAACTCTACGCAGCATGTTATTAAAGCAGATGCTGAGGCTCGTAGCCAAACTTTGGGCATAGTGCAGGAAATCTTACAAAAGAAGGGAGAGATAGAAAGACCTGGAGGGGACAGGAGCCCCACAAGGAGAGCAACAGAACCAAAAAATTTGGGCCCAGGGGTCTTTTTGGAGACTTATACTTCAACAAGGACCATGTATGAAGATAATCTAGAACCTCTTCACAGATGTAGCCCATGGCATCTCAGTCTCTAAGTGGGTACCCTAGTAAGGGGAACAAGAATTGTCACTGTCTCTTACATGAACTCAGTGGCTGGCTCTTTGATCACCTTCCCCTGAGTGGGGAAGCAGCCTTACCAGACCACAGAGGAAGGCAATGCAACCAGTCTTGATGAAACCTGATAGGCTAGGGTCAGATGGAAGGGGAAGAGGACCTCCCCTAGCAGTGGACTTGGAAAGTACAGGGAGGACATGAGGGAGGAAGGGAGGGGTAGGAAGGGTATGAGGGAGGAGCTACAGCTGGGATACAAAATGAATAAACTGCAATTAATATAAAAATAAAAATATCTTCCATGATATACGTATAGGGGAATACTAAACATAAACAATTTTAATGTTCATATTTTGGTTGCCCCCTCAGGATAGGTAATTATGCATATGCAAATGTTCTATTTTTCTTTGTAAAACTCCCAAATCTGAAACACTTCAGGTTATAAGCATTCTATCAGTGCTGTACAACATGTATATTTATTTCCCCTTTGGAGATGAGAGGCATCATATCAAAAATTATGTTAAAGAATGACATACTTAGGTAACACCCTAACTTAGCTTCTGTATGATCTTCATTTTGTCCAAGGGGAACCGGTGTGCTACATACTGTGTCAAATAGTACTGCGGCCTCTTCATAGGACTTTGTCCTGCTTAGGGCAGTGAAGAACATTGCCAAATGCCCATGGGTTGAACACAGACACATGGAAAGACCTGGGGTTGGTGAACCCAACTCTCTGATGGAGGAATGGTAAAACTTCGAAAGCTTGGCATATTGATTACACACACTTGAACAGAGATGCAGCGTTACTGCATACAGCTGAATAAAGTAGGTGAGGGTTTTGGT